CATGGATCCAGCAAGCCACGGAAGGGACAAGTTGAGGCTTGGAGGCCAGAAGAACTGAAAAACAGAATTAGCAGCCACTCCAGAGACCTGCCATAGCTGTGAGGCTGCTGAGCTGTCCCGATAGCATTGCCAAGTCAGGGCAGTATGATGCCCCCACCATCTGGTGGAGCTCATCCAGACCTCAGCAGATGAGTGCAGGCTTGTCCTGTGATCCCTGAGAACAGGCAAGAGGGAAGATAGGGCAATACATGAGAAACGTCTGGATGGATAGAAGGCCAAACTTTTTTTTTTTTTCCCAAAAAAGTTTATTTTATTTTTTAAATTACTTTTATTAAATTTTATGATGTTGAATATGTGCCTAACAAAACATGCTAAACCTTTTTTAAGTATCCAGCTCAGCTCCCGGACATAGGAATAATGGTAACTGCATGTAGCATCCAGTCAAAGGTGCTGTCTTACCCAACTTCTTGCTTAAACAGAACTGAACTTTGCCTTACAGCCTTAAAGGAGGACTCGGGGAAAAGAGAATCAAATGAGAAAACACCTTGAAAGTGATTGTTAGGATTATGGAATACACAGGGTATATTTTGTTGGGACAAACACTGTAGCTTAAAATCTGTAACTAGAAGTAAGAAGTTTACAGAAATTCAGGTGGATGAGCCTACCATTATGATTTAACAATTTGGTGGTATGAAAATGTATTTATACATGTCCAGTATTATGATTTGATGCATAGCTTTACTGAACCTTTATTAATAAAGGAAGGATTGATACTAGATGAGATAGAAGTTTAAAACAGAGCTTGGAATTAAATTTGTCCAACTGGTGCATAACCTGGTGATGACAGCTGCCTCCACGAGCTTCTAAGAGACTTATTTGCCTTCATTGTAACTGTGGCCAAGAGGAGGTGTGCCTGATGACTCTGCACATGTGGAATAGAAGCACAGAACACATCACACGCTTTGTATTTGAACAAACCTCTGTACTTTGTGTGTCCAGAGGCTCCACAGAAGTGATATATCAGAATATGCATTTCCCCTTAAGCAATTGAGCTTTTTAAAGGAAGAAACTGGGCTGGGTTCCATATGGAGCCTAAAACATGGGTTTTCTCAGAAAGCACTAAGTTCTGTGACAAGGAAAGAAGGTCAGTGAGCTCAGAGATGGCCCCCAAGAGCAGGGCTCCTGACCTGTCGAGAGCTGAGAAACAACAGAGCTGGCCTGTTGGCATTTGATTAATGCAGACAAGTTAATAAAGTAGCTGGAAGAATGCACAAAGAGAGGATGCAGAAGAGGGGTGTGAGGGAAGGTTAGAGGATTAAAGCTGCAAAAACATTCCTCTAATGGATTTCTCAAACATACCAACCAACAGGCAAGGACAGGTGTCCCATCAAACCATTTCCCCATGAAACCTGATCTGTCATTTTGCAGGGAGGCCTGCTGACCCCATTTGTAATTGAAGGGTCTGCCCCAGGGAGTCCCAGTGAAGCTGGCTGAGCCACCCGGGATGTGGCCTGGAAAAGGCTTTGCACATAAAGGAGCCTGGGAACAGGCTGGTTTCCTTCATATGTGGCCAACTAGCACTCCTCTCTGCATCTGCCTGTCTGATGGCTGCCCAGGCTGGTATTGATCATGGAGCCTGCACCCCTCCCTGGCCTCTCTCCTGCCCAGAAACACTCAGAAAGGGGGTGCTCTGATTTTCAGATCATTCATCACTTCATTACTCTGCCTTTGATCCTTTAGGGAAATTCAAGCTTTGCTCCAACAGCCAAATTGAGAGTGTTTGTCTAGTGAAGCAACAGCTAAAGCTTAAGCTTAGGAGGTACCAGGAGGGGACAGGGCCAAGGACCAAACTGCTGCTTATTTGCTTTGAAGCCAAGAAGGCTCGCCTGCCAGTCGGCCCTTATGGGGAGCTGGACACCCAGCTGGGGTGTCCTCGGTCCTGTCCACATGGGCTGTTGTGCACATGTTGGCATCGGAACAGAGGGACTGTCTGGTTGTGGGGCGACTGGTGCCCAGCTTTGTACCTCCCCCACTACACAGCCTTCTGTCTTGAACTGAGTAGTTGTCAGAGGGTGCAGAGGAACCAAGAGAGTCCAAAGGAGGTGCATAATATTCTCTGGTCTTGAGGTTGGTGCAGTGGGTAGTGGAACCCTGCATGCTCAGTGTTTAGATAAGCCCTTAATTAACAGTAGGGCCGCAGCCCAGGGCCATTAACATGGAGATGGCATTCTGATGCCAAACTCATTTCAGTGGCTCACATCTTTCTTGCACAATAATCTAGATTTAAGTATATTCTTGCCTGAGGCAAAGTTCCTTACAGTGATGTGAAGAAACAGAGGAGGAATTAAAAAAAAACCCTTTGGTGGAGTAGTTTTGGGTTTATTTGACCATGGAAGAGTGCTTCTCAGTAACTGAGGAATTTTCCGGATGCCCCTGAGCATTCAATCATTCATAGCCTGCTTTGTAGGGAGCCTCTTGGCGTGGCAGGTATAGGACACACTGTCCTGAAGGAGGATTAGGGCTTTGACAGGTTTTTTTTTTTTTTTTCAGTGCATAGCTTATGAAAAACAAAATTACCAAGATTTAGCTAGAATACGTTGAACACAGGTCATCCACCTTCTCCCACAGTCCGAGAAAACTCATAGCTATCTTGGCTGAGAGGCTCAGCCAGAACTGGCTACGTAATTGGCGGAGCCCAGTGCAAAATGAAATTTAGGGTCCCCTGTTGAAAAATAATTAAGAATTTTAAGACGGTGACAGCAGAGCATTAAACCAGGTGTGGGGCCCTCCCAAGTGCAGGGCCCTGTGGACTGCATAGGTTGCACGCCTGTGAAACTGGCCTTGGGCCCAGTGTTCCAGACTGTTTATTCATTCAGCAAGGATTTAGAGAGAATTGCTATATCCTGAGTACTGTGCAGTGGGGCTTGGAGCTGGGGGTGCAAAATTAATAGGCTGCCCACCAGAAATTTATAAATTAGTTAGGGTCAGATATCACACACACAAAAATAAATAATGATGAACTGATTATTTAAAAGCCGAAGATGTCCTACACTGAGACAAAGCCACCTTGACCCACAGGCATAGCTTGTTGAGCCTAGATAATGAGATGCGGCAGTAGGAAGAGTGAATTGAATCAGGCAGTCTGTCATTGTTTTTGCCACACCACTCCATGAATAGCTTGTATTTCTTACTCCACATTTATTACATCTAGTTTACCCCTTTCCTTGGGACCCCAGACGTAACTTCTCATGACACATTCTGTTTTCACAATAGCTTCCATTGGCCATACTTAGATAACATGTTCAAAGATTATTTATTATGGTAGGGCCTTGTCCTTGAGCTCACAGTGTAGCCCAAAGTCAGTTAGGGCATTTGAGTTCATAGGAGTTCATAGGCAACATAAATGGTCACCTCCTATCCTGACTTGTGGGACCCTGCTTCCAAGATATTCATTTATTCAACCTTTGCTCAGTGTCTGTTGAGGCTAGGCCCTCAGTTAGGATCAAGGGACATGTATATGAACATGACTTAATCTTTGCCCCCAAAGAGCTCACAATCTAGTACTATGATCCATAGGACAACGATCCTTCCAGAGAAACAAAAGAGTTTTCCTGGCTGGACTTGATGAAGAGCTTCTGGAAAATTCCATTAAATGTGAAACCTCCTGACCTCACTGAGTGCCTTGATCACCTGGCTCTCCTGTGGGGACAGTAGTTTGTTTTTGGTAATTATCTCTTGTCTTCTGTGAGAAATTCGATTCCTGCCTGTTACAGCTGCCTTCTCAGGGTTTCCAGTGGAAACAACAACAAGGACAGGTGGAGTCTTGCAGTGAAGTTGCTGTAAGCTCTGATGTTATCAGTTCTCAGGAGCTAAGCAGGATTTGCTGTGGTCACCATTGAGAGAGCTTTTTAAGTATCTTTGTAAAGAGAAATAATAAGAAATATTTTCATCTCTCTTATCTTATTCACTATTACTTTTATTTCTTAAAGTCAGCTATGATCCTGAAAAACAAATTTGGCATGCAGTTTCTTTGCACAAATGGCCCCTGTTCAGTTCAGCAACATCAGTAATTTGGCTCATACAAAGAGAGTTTTGTTGTTTGGACTGTTGGATTATTTGGGAAACATCCCAATCTCACTCCAGATGGATCTCCATCCTCTCCCAGTTTAGATCCCAGGCTCCCCATCACCATGCTGAGTCGGAGACACAGCTACCATGTTGCCAGAGACTTCAGCCTATAAAGGAGCCCTGACTCCCTCACATTCCACTGCCATTAAGCCACACAGGATGCTTCCTGTTGGCCTGGGAGAACTTTCCTTGCCTTAGAAAACCCTTAGAGCATCTACAGATCCCCACCCACACTGAGGGAGGGCTGAACCATTCACTGGATTGACCAGGACATTGAGTGCAGCTCCTGGGTAGCAGGATTCAGCCCTCTGGTTGCAACCACGGCTGTAATGGATGAAATCTCAGATCTGGCACTGTCCGCTGTGGATGTCTGAGGAGAACTTGGGAGGGCTGTTCTTGATTGAATGGAAGAACAAAACATCAGGATTCTCTTTTGCTGTTCCCTCCTACAACCCACAGAAGCCTTAGTTGAGCCTTTATAGATATGCCAGGACATTAGACTGTGACCCATTCCCAGCCAGGTTAAGGAGGGCTGACCAGCACTGCCAACTCATCCCCATCCTATCTCAGTGTAATAGAAAAGGCTGTCTGTGTCAGAGGCACGTCCTGATGGAACTGTCTCCCCAGGCCCACCCACTTCACCCCTATGGAGTGCTCAGCCCATGCAACCATGCACATTCCATCCTGTAAGCTACAGGCAATGAGAGGCTGGAGAAAGGACTCAGACTACCCCTCCCTGATAGCCCCCTGTGTGTGAGGTTCTGTAGCCTCTTCTGTGACATAAAATCCCCATGGCACAAGCCCTGCCCAAAATGTCTCACTGCCTCTCCCCACCATCGAGGCCTAGCCAGAAACTTCCCTTCTCTTCCCAGACCTCCAGGACTTCAAGTTGGATGTGCAGCATGTGATTGAAGTGGATGAGGGGAACACGGCAGTCATTGCCTGCCACCTGCCAGAGAGCCACCCAAAGGCCCAGGTCCGATACAGCGTCAAACAGGAGTGGCTGGAGGCCTCTCGAGGTGAGTGAGCAGGACAGGGGCTCTGACTGAGGTTAGGAGAGAAGTTTGCCTCCTCCAACTGCCCCTACTCAACAAAACTCATCACCTGCCGCTGCTTCCAAAACCGCATAAAGACACCAGTAGTCCCATTCCTCATTGCTGCTCAGCTATCTTCTACCTTGATATTTAGCTCTATAGAATCCTAAACGAGTTGGTTTCCACTGGGAGGTGTTGCCCATACTGCTGCCATTTCATCAGGGGTATCGGCACCTAATTCCGGACTCTTCCATGCCTGCTCCTTCCCATCAAGCACACACCGAAAGGCTGCCCAACAAACTTAGCCATTCCCAGAGTTTCAGGGTGCCCCACCACCAGCAGAGCAGTCTTTTCCATGAAATTACTTTTTTCACTATTCCCATATTCCTGGTAACTGAGACCACTCAACTATCACAGTACCTGCCCAGCCCACAGTGGACCCAACAGCTGGTCCAGGAGATACTAAGCTTTGGTTTACAGGGTGCTAGGGTGCAGGAGAGGTTGTCCCATCAGACAGAGTCAGCTTCTTCCCCCAATTGCCCCTGCACTCAAGGCCAAGTAGATTATACTTTTCCTGACCCCACAGGTCAAAATGTATACCTCTTAAGACATTTTAGGGAGTGCTGGTGGCATAGTGCCTAAGGCATTTGACAGGTAGCCAAAAGACTGGAGGTTTAAATCCACCAGCCATTCCTTGGAAGGAAGACTGGGCAATCTACTTCCGTAGAAATTTACAGCCTCGGAAACCCAATAGGGGTTACTATGAGTCAGATCCGAGTTGATGGCATTGAGTTTTGTTTGTTTTTTTAAATGACATTTTATAGATTTTTAAATATATTTTATTCATTTTTTCTGATTATGAAAGGAATATATGTTCACTATAGAAAATTTAGGAGCTCTGGTGGAGTAGTGTCTAAGGCATTTGACTACTAACCAGAAGGTCAGTGGTTCAAGCCCACCAGCCACTCCGCAGAAGGAAGACTGGGCAATCTACTTCTTTAAAGATTTACACCCTTGGAAACCCAATGGAGGTTGCTTTGAGTTAGAAGCGACTCAATGGCAGTGAGTTTGTTTTTGTTTTTATAGAAAATTTAGAAAAAAAAAAGAAAACTATTTCTTTAAAAAAAAAAAAAAAAAAAAAAAGCCCTAATCCTACCACTCAGATATAACTGGAAACTGAGTGGAGAAGAGCATTAATACCCACTTGCTGTGAGATACCTGCCCATCTCACAAGGGTCAGGGCTTTCCCTACTCCTTGTGTCACTTGACTAAACAGAGCACACATGGGGCAGCCAGTGGAAGGCAGGCTCTGAGCTGGGTAAGTCTGGGAATGCAGGGACGCCACAGGGTTTAGGCAGACCACCAAGATACAGCTAATGAGCTGACAGCCAGTGCTTTGCCTGCCAGAAAGCTGGAAGCCACCCGTCACTGGTGTCCAGAATTGAGAATATGCCTCCTGTTTCATGAACCTAAACACACCTCAAGGCCCCATCCTCATGGTGCCCCTCAACCAGGAGCAGACAAAGCCCCAAGGGCCAGTGATGCAGAGGGCGGAGTGTCAGTGGCAGTTGTAGAGAGGGCAGTGGCTTAGGGGTTAGAATATTCCTTTCCAGTGATAGAGATTTCATACCAAGGATGGCTCAGAGCTGTGACTGTGCCAGAGACTAAGAGTCAGGTTCAAGCAAGTTCTCTCCTTCCTGGTGGCTTGCAGGAATGGTTATCTCATCTCCCAAGTGTGTTGTTGTTGTTGTTATGTGCCGTCGAGTCATAGCGACCCCTCCTTGGGTTTCCGAGGCAGTATCACTACGGAAGTAGATTGCCCCATCTTCCGTGTGTAGCAGGGGCCTATTGATCCTTATAACAGCTTCAAGGAAGCATATATTATACCATTTCACAAATGAGGGAACAGGATCAGAGAGGTTAATTAACTTACCCCAAGTCACATAGTACTTGGCAGATCTAAAGCTTGAGCCCAGGCCTGCCTAACCCCAAATCCTGCTTCCTTATCACCCTACCCCAGCTCCCTTGAAAGTGTGAACTGTTCTTCTACAGACCTGTGTACTAACTCGGGGGCAGTTATTTAACTAGTTTGTTAGCTGGCTGGTTACTTAGTTTCTCTTCCTGTCTCTTCAGTCCTATATTGGGAGAATAGCACTCTAAGTTTAAGCTTCTTGTGACTCTAGTGTACATCAGTTCCTAGCTCCTGCCCTACCTTCTACGACTCCTCACCTTTGTGGGTAATATTTAAGAAGGGGGCAGAGTGCTAAGGGCGATATTGTGGGCCCCAATTTATCCCCATATTACTCTCCCCTGCCCTTTCCACAGATAACTACCTGATCATGCCGTCAGGGAATCTCCAGATTGTAAATGCCAGCCAGGAGGATGAGGGCATGTACAAGTGCGCGGCCTACAACCCAGTGACCCAGGAAGTGAAAACCTCTGGCTCCAGTGACAGGCTGCGTGTGCGCCGTAAGGGCCAGGACCTCACTCTTGGTGGAGGGGCTCGCTGATGGGGGGAGTCTTGGGGAGGCCTCAAAGTGTCAGCTCTCGTTCTCTAAGAGGTGGCGTGGGACACCAGTGACTAGGCCATCCAAGACAGAAGCCAGGGGTTCTCTTCCCTCCTGCTAGCCCAGTGCCAGATTCTGATAGCTTATGGCCTGACTGGGGTAGGTGGCTGTGCTTGCTAGTCACATCAGTACTGTGGGTCCCATCCCCTTCTTCCTGCCTGTTAGAGATTTCCTTCTCTGTATACTATTGGGATGTGTGTGGCTGGACGGGAAGGTCTGGAGCTCAGCTGCCTACATAGCATATGCATAGATAAGATGACGGACTTGTACATGGGATTGAGACCCCAGGCCTGCATTTTCTGCCCTCCATGGGGCAGAGCTGGGACCATGCTGTCTGGACTGTTGATACAGGCACCCAATACCTCCCTCACATGAAAGTTCATGATGGCAGCACCATTCCCCATTAATTATATGAAAACAACAGCTACATTTTCTAAGCACTTGCTCAGGCTCTTTGCATATTCAGTGGAGTTACATCTGATAGACAATTAGTTTTTAATGTCAGGTGGATTTACCATGAAGCTAATGAAGTAAAACTTCAATAGTTCCTTACTCTTTCTGGCCCCACCAGAGGCCATATGTCCAGTTTTATATTTCTAATTTTGTATTCTATTTTTTAAAGAGGGCATCCCAAACTGTTTATGTTTCAGGTCTTATAGAACCTGGGTCTGCCCCGATTAGCCATAAAGTACAAATCACATGGCCAACAACATACTCGTTGTAGGTCCCTGAGGAAGGCAGAACATTAGAGATCAGCGTGCCTGTCAATAAGTTCTATGCATGTTCTCCCCCAGCACTGGAAAAAAAAAATCTCTGCTTCCTCAGCTGAGCACCTGATGGAGTAGCTGATTTGCCTTTGTGGACCTTGAGATGAGAGAGTTGTTGACACTAAGTGGCCCACACTAAGACAGTTGGGAACCAAGACCCATGGATTTAGTGTCCAGTCCTTCATCTCAGAATGCACTTACTGAAGGCATGCAGGAAAAAAATGTGTGCACTGTTAAATTGTTTCTCTTTCTCTCTCCAACCCCTCATCTTTCTCACTTCAAACACACAAAATTAAGTGTATATATATTAAGTGTATATGATACTGTCATGTTGACTCCAACTCATAACAATGCTATAGGACAGAGTAGAACTTTCCCATGGAGTTTCCTAGAATGTTATCTTTATGCACAGTGCTGACCGATAGGTTGGTGGTTTGAACCCATCAGCCACTCCATAGGGGAAAAATGTAGCAACATGCTTCCGTAAAGATTTACGGCCTTGGAAGCCCTATGGGGCAGTTCTGCTCAGTTCTGTTGGGTCGCTATGAGTCAGAATCAACTCTGTGACAGCAGATTTAGTTTCCTTTTTTGTTATTTAATCTATATGGAAGCAGATCGCCTGATCTTTTCTCCTTTGGAGCCACTGATGAGTTGAAACTACCAGCCTTTTAATTTAGCACCCAAGTGTTTCAATGATTCTACTCCATTGTATTATCCCATTTATCACTCAGAACAACTCAGAACTCCCTGTTTCAGATAAGGAAACCAAGGGGAATCCAGTGACTTGCCCATTTTACATAGACAGGACTGCCTCCTGGGGCTGCCCTGGAGGGGGGCAGGAGGGCACCCTTTGCATGAAGTCTTGGTCCCATAGGCTCTTCCTTCCATGTCTCACAAGGCTCCACTGCAGAAGCTGCTCGAATCATCTATCCCCCAGAGGCGCAGACCATCATTGTCACCAAGGGGCAGAGTCTTATCCTGGAGTGTGTGGCCAGTGGGATCCCGCCCCCACGGGTCACCTGGGCCAAGGATGGGTCCAGTGTTGCCGGCTATAACAAAACACGCTTCCTGCTGAGTAACCTCCTCATCGACACCACCAGTGAGGAGGACTCGGGAACCTACCGCTGCATGGCCAACAATGGGGTAGGGGAGCCTGGGGCAGCAGTCATCCTCTACAATGTCCAGGTATTTGGTGAGTATGTCTTGCAGGCCTTCTTCTCAGTCTTCTCTCTGATCTCTATGGCCTTTCTTGAGACCTATCACCTGAGGCTCAGAGAGGGTTATTGCCTTGTGAAAGGTCACACCCAAGGGCGTGGCACCCAGGGGGGGTGCATGAAACAGGGTCCTGGCCAACTTATCCTTCCCTTTCCTGCCATGACTCTGATGGGGTGGCATGACACCCGTCCTTCCCTGTACCCCTTCTTGGCCAAAAGGGAAGGAGGTTGCCTCCCCTGACTGCAGTCACCTCTCCAGCTTATGTGGCCCTAGGACATGTAGAACAGCCCTTCTCACCCCACTCTGGTTTCCCACAGAACCTCCCGAGGTCACCATGGAGTTGTCCCATCTGGTCATCCCGTGGGGCCAGAGTGCCAAGCTCACCTGTGAGGTGCGCGGGAACCCCCCACCCTCTGTGCTGTGGCTGAGGAATGCCGTGCCCCTCACCTCCAGCCAGCGCTTCCGCCTATCCCGCAGGGCCCTGCGTGTGGTCAGTGTGGGGCCCGAGGACGAAGGCGTCTACCAATGCATGGCTGAGAATGAAGTTGGGAGCGCCCACGCTGTGGTCCAGCTGAAGACCGCCAGGCCCGGTGAGTGCAACCTCGTGGTCTTTGATTCCAGAAAAACATTCACAGAACACTCCTTTCTAGTGAACTCTTAGAACCTCAATAAGTAAAATAGACAAAAGTGTTTTTTATTTGAAAGTTCAAATTTACATTTACTTGTTAATTAGAATAAGTGAGTAAAAATTTGCTAATGACTCATTTAACTTGTATTTAAGTTTTTTTTAAATGTGGAACACTGCATGACTTTGCATGCCATCCTTGCACATGGGCCATGCTGATATTTTCTATATCGTTCCAATTTTAGTATATGTGCTGCAAAAGCGAGCATGTATTTTTAAAATTTTTGACAAATTAGTTTGCAGAATCTGTGGTTTCCTAGGGTTTCATGGAACCCAGTTTGACAACCACTGCTCTTAAATAAAGCAAGTCTATTCTTTTCAACTTAATTTGTTTTCGTTGACACCTATATTTATTGAGCAGTTACTGTGTGCCTAGCACTGTGGTGGGTAATGTAGGGGCTACAGAAAAAGACAGCAAGACCACTACCCTCAAGAACCTTTCTTATAGAGGAGGTATAACACACCAAGAAAGCAATTGGAGAGCAGTACAGCAATAATTGGGAGCTCTGGTAGTGTAGTGCCTAAGGCACTTGACTACTAACCAGAAGGCTGGTGGTTCAAACCCACCAACCACTCCTCGGAAGGAAGATGGTGCAATCTATTTCCATAGTGATACTGCCTTGGAAACCCACGGAGGAGTCGCTATGAGTCAGGTCCGACTCGACGGCACATAACAACAACACAGCAATAGTTAACAAAATGTTGACTCACAATCATAAGGTGCCAATATCCGATTGTGCAAGAAGTTGGGGAGAGGAGAGACTGGTGTTGGCGGAGTCCATGGGGGCTTCTGAGGGAAGTACCACCTCTCCTGGCCTCTTAAGCTCTCTGAGGGAAGCTATAGTTGGCTTCATGGGTCACGTTTCCATGTTTCCTCAGAAGAGAAGGAAAAGGCCCAGGTTGTACCATGGTATTAAGATCCCACAGTGAAAGGACATGTTCTTGTTCCCAGCCTAGATGTGAGAATGAAAGACATAGGGTTCCTGCTGCACCTCAGGAACAAATTGAGGTAGTTCACTTAAATGCACCTAGAGTGGACTCCCACCCACTTGCTCATTTGCAAGTTTAAGTTGGGAAAAAAAAAGAAAAAAAAAAAAAACCCTCCTTAGGTTTCCGAGGCAATATCACTGTGGAAATAGTTTGCCCAATCTTCCTTCAAGGAGTAGCTGATGGGTTTGAACCACTGGCCTTCTGGTTGCAAGTCACATGCCTTAGGCACTATGCCACCAGAGCTCCTAAGTTTAAGTTGAAGCTGAAGAAAATTAAAACAAGTTCATGAGAGCCAGAATATGACCTTGATTATATTCCACCTGAATTTAAGGACCATCTGATAGATTTGGTGCCTTGAACAGCAACGGCCAAAGACCAGATGAGTTGTGGGATGACATCCATGAAGCACATCATGCATTAAGAAAGCAAAAGGTCATTAAGAAGACAGAAAAGGAAGAGAACACCAAAATGGATGTTAGAAGAGACTCTGAAACTTGCTCTTGAAAGCAGAGTAGCTAACGTGAATAGAAGACATGGAATAAAAGAGAAGAACAGAAGACTTCAAAGGGCAGCTCCAGAAGATAAAGTCAATTATTATAATGAAATGTGCAAAGACCTGAAGTTGGGAAATCAAAAGGGAAGAAAATGCTTGGCATTTCTCAAGCTGAAAGGACTGAAGAAAAAATGTAAGCCTCGAGTTGTAATATTGAAGAATTCTGTGGGCAAAATATTGAATGATGCAGGAAACACCAAAAGAAGATGGAAGGAAAGCACAGAGTCACTGTACCAAAAAGAACTGATTGATGTTCAGCCATTTCAGAAGGTAGCATAGGATCAAGAACTGATAGTATCGAAGAAAGAAGTGCACTGAATGCACTGAACAAATTGGCAAAAACATAGGCTTCAAGAATTGACAGAATACTCATTGAGATGTTCCAACAAACAGATGCAGCACTGTAGGTGCTTACTCATTTATACCAAGAAATTTGGAAGACAGTTACCTAGCCAACTGACAGGAAGAGATTGATATTTGTTCCTACTCCAAAGAAATCTGATGCATCAGAATGTGGAAATTATCTAACAATATCATTAATATCACATACAAATAAAATTTGCTGAAGATAATAGGAAATGGTTGCAGCAGTAAATTGACATGGAACTGCCAGAAATTCAAGCTGGATTCAGAAGAGGAGGTGGAATGAGGGATATCATTGCTGATGTCAGATGGATCTTGGCAGAAAGCAAAGAACACCAAAAAGATGTTTGCCTGTGTTTTATTGACTATGCAAGGCACTGACTGTGTGGATCATAACAAATTATAAGATTGCAAAGACTGGGAATTCCAGAACACTTATATGTGTTCATGAGGAATCTATATGTAGACTAAGAGGCAGTCATTTGAACAGAACAAGGTGACGCTGCATAATTTCAAATCAGAGGAGGTGTGCGTCAGGGTTGTATTCTCTCATCATACTTACTCAGTCTATAAGCTGAGCACTTAATCTGAAAAGCTGGACTATATGAAGAAGACGTGCTATCAGGATTGGAAAAAGACTTATTAACAACCTGGACCTTGCTTGTTGAAAGTGAAGAAGACTTTGAGGCACTTACAGATGAAGATCAAAGACTACATACAGCCTTCAGGATGGATTACAGCTCAACATAAAGAAAACTAAAATCCTCACAACTGGACCAATAAGCAACATGATGATAAATGCAGAAAAGATTGAAATTATCAGGGATTTCATTTTATTCGGGTCCATAATCAATGCTCATGAAAGCAGCAGTGAAATCAAACAATGTATCACACGGGGAAATCTGCTGCAGAAAAACCTCTTTAAAACGTTAAAGAGCAATGATGTCACTTTGAATACTAAGGTGTGCCTAACCTGAGCCATGGTGTTTTCAATAGCCTCATATGCATGTGACAGCTGGACAATGAATAAGGAGGACCAAAGAAGAATGGATGCATTTGAGTTGTGGTGTTGGGGAAGAATATTCAATGTACCATGGACTGCCAGAGGAGTGAACAAACCTGTCTTGGAGGAAGTACAGCCAACATCCTCCAAAATGACCAGATTTTGTGTCTCATATTTTGGTCATGTTATTAGAAGGAACCAGTGCCTGGAGAAGGATATAATGCTTGGTAAAGGGTCATTGGAAAAGAGGAAGATACTCATGAGATGGACTGATATAGTGGCTGCAATGACGGGCTCAAGCATGGCAGTGATTGTTGTTATTGTTAGGTGCCTTTGAGTCAGTTTCGACTCATAGCAACCCCATGTACAACAGTGTTTACTCAGGAAAAGAGGCAGTTCTCAGAGAAGCTTGGCTGTCACCTTGGAGCCACAGGAGAAGCCTGGACAATGTAGTGCAGGCTACCTTTCCCTCCTGGGAAGGCAGGGACACTGTCCTCTCTTCCCACAGAGCCTGGTTGTTTGTTGAGCAGGTGATGATCATCCCAGACCCTAAGCATTCCTTTCATCTCCTACTTCTTTCCCAGTTTCTTCCTCAGAGCAGCAGCTCAGCAGATAAACTTAACAGCAGAGACTAACATGCCATTTCCTTCCCTTCTCTCTCCTGCTCCATTCTCCAGGCACAACCCTGAGGCCATGGGGAGATGCTAAGCTGGACATGGCCACACCTTCTGCACCACCTTCCAGACCTGGTAGCCCTGACCAGATGCTGAGGGGCCACACAGGACTCCCACAGCCCCCAACATCAGTACAGCCTGCTTCCCCATCGTGTCCAGGAGAGAAGGGTCAGGCGGCCCCAGCCGAGGCCCCCATCATCCTCAGCTCACCCCGGACATCCAAGACTGACTCATATGAGCTGGTGTGGCGGCCTCGGCATGAGGGTGGTGGCCGAGAGCCCATCCTCTACTATGTGGTGAAACACCGCAAGGTACGGTCCTTGGCACTGTGCCACCACCTGCCCCTGTGCAGCCCTCCTCAGTGAAGCTGAGCCAAAGCTGCCACCTCCCCCTGAGCTTCCACAGATTGGGCCAGGACACCCACCACGTATCATGATCATTCTCTTGCCTCCTCTGGTGCCCATTCCTACTTACCACCTGGGAATCTGGATATGATATGGGTACTCGAGTCCTAATAAAAAAAAAAATAATAACAACAACATACCATTTGCTGTCAGTTCCACACACAACTTCTCCATAGGGTTGTCAATGGCTGTGATCTTTCTGAAGAAAATTACCAGCCCTTTTTTTCTGAGGTGCCTCTAAGTGGATTGGAACCATCAAACACAGACCTAGGCATCAGCCTTGTGCCTTCAGGTCTGAGTTTCTCTGCATTTCCCTCCCAGGAGCCAATACCATCAACTCCTGGCCCCAGAGGAGAAGTTAGGACCATCTCCCTGTGACCATCACTCATCCTCACCTCTTTCCTGTCATTTGTTGTTGATGTTGTTGTTTTGCTTTGCTTTTTAACTGAAGTAAGCTGTGGTAGGCACAGACCTGCAGGAATTTTGGCATGACGAGCTCCCTCTAAAGCCAGGAAAACACAGGCAGATATTTATGAACAAGTGTTTTTTCTGATGGTTGTGAAATACCCCCTCAGTTCTCAGAATTCATCATGATTTGGGTTTGACAGGCAGGCATTTGAGCTGAAAGCACATCACGTTGTTTAGACCTCAGGTCTATTTCTCCTGACAGAAGGAACTCTGTCCAGGTGAATGTTCCAAGAGCTGTCACGGAGGGAGTCTCTGGCTGAGCCTGGATGTAGGGACAAAGCCAAGCCAGCCCCATCCTTTTGGACACCAGGCCCTGTGAGGAAGGACAGGGAAGCCAGGTGGCTGCCTTCTCTCAAGGCTCTGTTCTTCCCTGATGTTACCCCATGGGATAGGTACGTGAAAGTCTCTGTAAGAAAATGTGCTTGAAAACATTCTTGCTGGTCCCAAGGGCATACTGTTTTCTTTCTAAGGCCATGAGCCAGTAATCAGTTGCCATCGAGTCAGTTCCAATGCGTGGTGGCCCCATGTGTCTGAGAGTGGAACTGTGCTCCACAGGGATTATAGTGGCTGAACTTTCACAAGCACATCACCAGGCCTTTCTTTTGAGGTACCTCTTGGTGGATTCTAACCACTAACCTTTTGATTAATAACCAAGTGCTTAACAGTTTATACCATTGAGGGACTCCATCTAAGGCCATTAAACCAAACCAAACTCACTGCCGTCAAGTTGATAACGACTCATAGCAACCCCCTTTGGGTTTCCGAGGAGGTAAATCTTTACAGAAGAAGATTGCCCAGACTTCCTTCCATGGAGTGGCTGATGGGCTTGAACCACCAACCTTCTGGTTAGCAGTCAAGTGCCTTAGGCACTATACCACCAGAGCTCATTTCTAAGGTCATTAAACTAAAAACCAATCTCACTGCTGGTCGAGTTGATCCTGACTCATAGTGACCCCTCCTTGGATTTCTGAGGCAGTATCTCTGGCTGGCAGTTCAAACCCATCAGCCACTCCTCGGAAGGTAGATGGGGCAATCTACTTCCGTAGTGATACTGCCTCAGAAACCCAAGGAGGGGTCACTATGAGTCAGGTCCGACTCGACGGCAGAAAACAACAAACAACATCTCTGCAGAAGTAGATTGCCCAGTCTTCCTTCTGAGGAGGGGCTGGTGGGTTTGAACCACCAGCCTTCTGGTTAGCAGTCAAAGTCTAAGGCCATTAAACAGTAGCATATTACTATCTTTAAATGGATTTTAAAGTTTTACTTAATAAATATCGGGTTCTGCTGCCTCCTGGATGTGGCAAGGGGCGCAGTTTCTCATTAACCCTCAGCCTGCTGGTGAATTGAGTTGTTAACAAAAAGCTGCATTGTTCAGCCTAGGCTATAGGCCAACCTGGTACTAACCCTTATCTTCTCGTATAACTGGACACCCCCATCTCAGAGTTGTAGACAAAGATCGGGGCAGGCCAACTTCCCTTGGCCCCCAGGAGACAAGAACCACCGTGATAGCAAGAATAGTATTTTTCAGGCCAGTAGGTGGCCACAAAACTGCCTCACCAAGAGGCATGCTGGCAAAGCCCAGGCATGAGGGTCCAGAAGTGTCAGGCTGTGGCTGCGTCACCCTTGCAGTGTATGTGACAGTGACTAATGACCCTCCCATTTCATATTTTCATTACTGGGCCCAGGGACAGGGGTGGAGGGAAGTGAGAGGACCGAGCCCCGCTGCGTCTGGCTTCCATTAGGCTCCGGCCTCAGGGGCACTTGGAGCTGTTAGACAGTCATTGCCAAGAGAGAAATTAAGTCTTGAAAGCAGTTCCTTTCTTGGGGGACTAACATGTCCTAAAGATCCTCACAAGAGAGGATTTTGAAATCAAAAGTCAGAGTTTGTTTTGTGTTTTTCCGTCCCCCTTCTCTTGCTGGTGACTGGGGATTATTTGCTTAATTGTCACCTTTTCAAGTGCTTGAAGCTGGGCTTCACTTCTTGGTGCATCTGCAGACCCTGAGCTACTGTGTTTGGGTTTCCAGCATCTCTGGGGAGTCTCAGTTTGTAAAACTTCTCCCCTTGGATCAAATCCTGGAAACCTGACCTTAATGAGCCCAGACCATCCCTGTTCTTGAATAGTAGGTTTTGTTCCACTTTTGAATATTCAGCTTGAGGATAAAAGCTCTCCCTACCAGCTGTTTTCATCCTTCAGCAAACCAGTAGGCCCTCTGAGATGTGACCACAGAAACACTCACTGTCAAGTCAACTCTGACTCCTGGTAACCCCACGTGTGTTAGAGCAGAACTGCCTTCTGTCAGGTTTTCAAGGGGTGACTTTTTGGCAATAGATCACCAGGCCTTTCTTCCAAGGTGCCTCTGGATAGACTTGAACTGCCAGTCTTTTGGTTTGCAACTGAGCACATTAACCGTCTGCACCATCCAGGGACTCCGTTGGCAGTTAAGTCCATTGTCCTGAGAGGTGGAATGGATGAGATGAGTCAATCTCACAGCATCCCTTGTTGGAGAAGTTGGAGCTCCTTTATGTTTTCTTTAGTTTTAAAGGGCTAGGGGTTCAAAGCCATGAAAGACTAATCCATAATAGTTATAATCTCTCACAGTTTTTAAGTCTTAAGAAAGGGCTAAGGGCAGGAGCAAAAAAAAAAAAGAAAAAGAAAATGGGGATTAAAATGACAGAAACCTCACAGGATGGAGAATGTGAGGTGGTCAGGAGAAGGGGCAGGCATATGTTGGGAGCCTGTGATGGGCCAGTTCAATGCTGGGCACTTTAGGTGTGCCACCTAATTTAATCTTAAGAATAACTTGAGAGGTTTTATTTTCATTACATTCTAGAAATGAGAGCACCATCCCATCTGTCAGTTTGTTGTACTATGGTGGCTGCATGTTGGTGTGATGCTGGAAGTGATGGCACCAGTATTTCCAATACCAGCAGGGTCAGTCCTGGTGGACAGGCTTTGATGGAGCTTTTAGACTAAGAGGCTAGGAAGAAAGGCCTGGCAATTGCTTCCCAAAATTAGCCAATGAAAACCCTATGCATCACAATGAATATCGTCCATTACCATGCTGGAAGATAAGCCCCTGAGGTGGAAGGCACTCAGAACACACAGTGACCACTATAATGGATTTGAGCATACCAGTGATCATGGGATGACACAGGACTGACCAGTGTTTCATTCTGTTGTACGTGGGGTTGCCATATGAGTGACAGCCAACTCAATGGTAACTAACAACTAAAACAGAAATGAAGAAAAGTTCAGAGGTTAGGGAACTTACTCAGAGTGGCACAACTGGTAAGGAACACAACCAGGATTTGAACTCAAGGCTTTCTGGCTCTGAGACTCTTTTTCTTTTCAGGATAGGTTATGATTAGGAACACGTGCTCACTAGCAACTTGGCCTTGGGCAGTTATTCATCATCCCTTTAAGGCTCAGTCTCATTTGTGACATGGGCTGTTGGGAGGACAAATGAGGTATTGCTTGTAAAGTGCTCAGTTCCATGCCTACCACACAGTGAGCATTGGGCAAATGTTACCTGGACTGGTGTTAATCATTCTCATCACCATCTCATTAGGATGTAAACAGAAGGAATTGTGTTTGATTTAAATAGAGCAAGGAGAGAGTTAAAAATGCAGTCTTGGTAAAGCACTCAACCATGGAAGATCCAAAGGGCAGTATTTGCATAGGGAAACAGCTCCCAGTGGGCAGGAATGCACAGGCAAGAAGGACACAGAGAAAAGGTAACCACAGGGAGGAACTGAGAAGACAGTCATTATATTATGAGGATTGCAATCAGTGTCATGAAACAAAATGTGTGTGAACTGGTTGAATAGAAAATTAATTTGCTCTGTCAACTTTCACCCAAATCACAATAACAATAAATAGATAATGATGGAGGGTCTCAGAAGGACAAGGTCATTGGAGAGGTACTTAGCAATATCAGTCAGGCCTTCTGACATTCACTACCGAGTTTTCTTTGGATGGATCATCAGATAGGCATCAGGAAGCCTGGTACTACTGTCGCAGAGAGGATGGGTGTCCCAGAGACAGAGGAAGGGACGGTCAGAGCTCTGCACTGGCCCCCGACACCTGACCCACTCCTCCTTTCCTTCCCTCCCTTGCTGTCTTAGGCTCAGTTTAGCTTTCCTTGCAAACCACAGCCCACCTATAGCTCCAAGCAGAGATGCTCGTCCTTATACAAGCCACCTTCTCCAGCAGGTCACAAATACCTCTGATGATTGGACCATCTCTGGCATTCCAGCCAGCCAGCACCGCCTGACTCTCAGCAGACTTGACCCCGGGAGTTTGTATGAAGTAGAGATGGCTGCTTACAACTGTGCGGGCGAGGGCCAGACGGCCATGGTCACCTTCCGAACTGGTAAGGGTCACATGCTGCAGGAAGCCCTGCCTGGACTTCATCTTTCCTTTCAGGTACTGCCTTCCCTGGCTATTGTGTGCATAGGCCCAGGCTACACTTCTTATCAGAAGAGTCACCAACTGACCTCTGTGGCCTCCTTCTGCCTGTCTCTTACACAGGGGCCAGCAGCAATACCATGGCAAAGTCAGATGGAGCTGGGAATCAAACCACACACTCAGTTTTATTCTTATTTACATTCCCTTGGCAGAACCGTTGGCAGAGTCTCAGGCAAAAAGGACTCTGTAGAGAAGAAAACCCAATTCACACTTTCTTCCTTGCTTATCTCAACCCTTTTCTACCCAGGACGGCGACCCAAACCCGAGATTGTGGCCAGCAAGGAGCAACAGATCCAGAGAGATGATCCTGGAGCCAGCCCCCAGAGTAGCAGCCAGCCGGACCACGGCCGCCTTTCCCGTAAGCCCAACAGCAGCAGGGGGCAAGGTGCTGAGTGCTAGGCCCACTGCTTCCAAGCCCTGTTGCAGTAGATCAAGTAGTGTCCTGGTTCTGTGGGTCCAGGAGTCCTCATGGCATTTTCCTGGGATCTGCTTGATTCACCACAATGAGAAAATGAGATTGGAGTGTCTAAAAATAAAATTGGAGTGTAATATGGGTTGCTGGCTCCATAGGTCCAGAGAGCAGTGGGGAAGAGAGCTACTGACCCTTTGGTCCTCCACGCCCTGGCTTCCCAGAAGTGTAGCTTGAAGGAATCTTAACTCAAGGGCTCCTCCCTGGACAGAGTGACACACCACTGGGTGATCCAATCAGGAGTGGGGTGGAGGGCTGTCAGGAGCAAACGAGTCTAGTCAGAATACAACCATCATCTCATCGTGTACCCTTCTGCTGTGTCCTTCCTCATTATGGTTGGCCTTTCCCAGCCCCAGAAGCCCCAGACAGGCCCACCATCTCCATGGCCACTGAGACATCAGTGTATGTGACCTGGATTCCCCGTGGGAATGGTGGGTTCCCGATCCAATCCTTCCGTGTGGAGTACAAGAAGCTGAAGAAAGTAGGAGACTGGATTCTGGCCACCAGTGCTATCCCACCCTCCCGCCTTTCTGTGGAGATCACAGGCCTAGAGAAAGGTAGGACCCTAGCCCCTCTCTCACAGGATTCCTAACTGTTCACTCAGTGGAGAAGGAGGACAGGAGCTTTGGAGGCCCTTCCCTCCACTCTGCTCTCCATCCACCATGGTGCTCACACGGGTGTTCTTTGTGGTGTTCACCTGAGTCCTACAAGCCCTTCCTTTCTTCCTGTCCCATATGAGGGTCTAGAGCCCTATCCTTTGAGATGAGGATGGGAGACCTTGTGAGTCCTTTAGGAATGGGCTGCCCAGAAGACCCTCCAGGTACTGGGCTTTCATGGGCTGTGGGAGAATCAGAAGGTGCTTCCCACCCCCAGGGCTCAGTGAACATCTTTTGCTCACCAGGTATCTCCTACAAGTTCCGAGTCCGAGCCCTGAACATGCTTGGGGAGAGCGAGCCCAGTGCTCCCTCCCGGCCATATGTGGTGCTGGGCTACAGTGGCCGTGTGTATGAGAGGCCCGTGGCAGGCCCATACATCACTTTCACAGATGCAGTCAATGAGACCACCATCATGCTCAAGTGGATGGTAAGTGGACCTGGGCGGTGCTGATGCAGGAAGATGGCGATTGGGTTTGTGTTGGGGCTGAGATGGCTACCAGTAGTGAGGGCAGGAAGGAATCACTTCTATCTCAGCCTTTCTTCCAAGGTGCCTCCCCCTAAGTGTTCCTTCACCTGTGTGCCTCCAACATAGTGTACCTGAAAGCCCACTTGTTGGGGTGGGGGAGCTGTATTAGCTAGAGCTGCTATTAGTGGTCTTTAGTTGGCTTTGGTGCCTTAACCTGGTAGACCTTCAAGCTAGTTACCATGATCAGGCTATATGCCACCCTCCTTTCTGCCCTTCCTCAGGTCCCACAGGGGATCCCAACATCATTGTTCAGAGACCCTTTTTAGCTAGAGATACTCACCCTCACAATGTTCAGGAAGGTTTAGGAGAGACAGAAATTTGTTTCTTGTCTCCCAAAAGCTTGAGGACCCCTAGGCTAAATAAAATAATGGTCTTCACAGCACTCTTCAGAAAACCTCATGGATACATATCCTCAGAGGTATATTTAAGATGCTTCCAGTGCATTTCAAACTCCAGGCTGGAGTGAAATTGTCATATATCAGTCATACATGGTGATGTCTCTACCCCATTGTCAATTTGTTTTTCCTCCATTCTCTATAGTATATTCCAGCAAGTAACAACAACACCCCGATCCATGGCTTTTATATCTATTATCGACCCACAGACAGTGACAATGATAGCGACTACAAGAAGGATATGGTGGAAGGTAAATAGTTTGGGGTCCTTTGCTGGCAAGGGGGTCTGGGTGCTGAGAAACCCAGTGAAGCATAAATCCTGGGTCTGGGTGTCAGAAAGCATCTGTTCCCCATATCATTGATTCATATATGACATAGCTGGGGGCCGTCAAGCTCTTAAACCAGCATACTTCCTTCTCATGATGATGGGACAACCTAGAGCATTTCCTCCAATGGTACCAAATTGCCACTTGTGCCAGGTACAGAGCCCTTGTCTGAGTCTGACTGTGAGATCAGAGCCAAGCAAACTGGAGGCACATCACCGTGTGTGACACTCTCCCTCTCTTTTCAGGGGATAGGTACTGGCACTCCATCAGCCACCTGCAGCCAGAGACCTCCTATGACATTAAGATGCAGTGCTTCAATGAAGGCGGAGAGAGTGAATTCAGCAACGTTATGATCTGTGAAACCAAAGGTGGGCTCTCTGCTCTTGTCTTGCTATTCCAGCAAAGTAAGGCAAAGTCATTGTTCCTTATGCCCTGCTGGGTATTTCTTTCCCATGAAGACTCCTTAGTTTCCATGTAATCCCTTGCTTTATCATTTTTAACCCTTCTCCTCATTTGCCTGTGCTTCATATTAAGTGAATAGGTTACCATCAAGGACCCCTGGTGACTCAATGGTTAAGTACTCAGCTGCTAACTAAAAGTCAGTTCAAACCCACTAGCTTCTTTGCAGGAGAAAAGACCTGGTGACCTGCTCCCATAAAGATTACAGTCTAGAAAATCTTGTAGGGCAATTCTACTCTGTCCCATAGGGTTGTTATGAGTTGGAATTGACAGCAACAAAACAACAACAGGTTACATGCATGACAGCTTCAAGAATACCATTACAGCTAACTTGGGTGTTAACTGATACATGAATTCATGGAATGGAACCCATTCTTAAGTTGGGAACTGTCTATAAGTACTTTACTTCTATATTAACATCTGGTGCTTAAATTGGTTGGTTTATTCAACATAACTGCAGCCCCATGAGTTATGTAAGAAACTGAAATCAGGAGATTAAGTACTTGACCAAGGTCATGCAGCCAATTAGTGGTGGGGCACACTTGGGGGTCAGGTTCATCTAACTCCAAGCCCAGGCTCTTTCTCCACTGTAGGACATGTTAAAAATATATACACAGTAACATATTGATATTTGCACAATGCTCAGGTGGGTACGTACCATGATCTATCTCCATTTTGGAAATAGCGAAAATGAGATATAGCAGGTAAATTACAAAGAATGCAATCAGAAGATCACAAAGGAGTAGGAATGGTGATAAGAAAGTAACACTGCCATTTATGTAATTACCTGTCATTGAGGCAGCAACATTATCTCCCTAGATTTGCACTGCTCTCAATCACTTATTCAGCATTTGCTGAGTGCCTCCTGTGTATACTCCCTGCCTTCCTTTGTCATAGACAATGAAGTGAGGGGAAGATACTTCCACAGCTAAAAATCCTGTATCAAGTAATACAAAGAATGGAGGCTTCACAAAGGAGACATTTGCACTTGTCTTCTTGAAGGGTTAGCTCTTCAGGCTGCTGGAATGAGGGCATGGTCGAGGGAACAGGTCAAGCCTGGAAGTAACTCCAGATGCTTGGAGTGCATGGCACCTGGAATGAACACTAGAGAGGAAATGTATGGTAGGAGCCCACACATTGGTGGGCTTTAGGTCATCAAGGACCTTGTGGGATGAGCTGGTGAGACAGTAGCAGGAGGCTGTGAGGCAGGGAGTGCCATCATTGGATTTGTTCATTGAGAAAGGTCACTGGTAGCCATACAAGAAATAGGTTGAGGGAAGGGAACTGTAGCCACAAAGTAAAGAGAAAGAGAAGGAAGAGGTTGGAGGAGACATGGTCAGGGCCAGAAGACAGATTGTGGTTTGGGGCTGAGAGAGAGTAAGTTAAAAGTAAACCCTGAGTCTTCTAGCTTGAGGTAGTGCACAGATGATATCGCCCTACTGAAATGGAGGCCAGAAAAGAGACAGATTTCATGACAAAGGAACAAGATGCAGTCACTTGGAAATTAACTGAGTCTCATATTCTTCTGGGACATTGAAATGATAATTCTCCAAATGAGAAACAAGTCTCCTGCCCTGGGGAGGGGTCTGAATTGGGGAAATTGATTTGGGAGTCATTAGGATACAGGTTGAGATTGTGGGACTAGGTGAGATTACACAAAGAGGGTATAGACAAAGAACCAGGAAGACCTCCCAGGTTCTGAGGGGCAGACAGAAAAGCGCAGAAAAAGAGAAATAGAGCAGTAGTCAGAGACTATGCCAAAACACCAAACCCACTGGCATCGAGTGGATTCTGACTCATGGTGACCCTTTAGCACAGAGTGGAACTGCCCCATAGGGTTCCCAAGGCTGTAAATCTTTGCAGACTGCCTCGTCTTTCTCCCGTGGAGCAGCTGGTGGGCTCAAACCATCAATCCTTTGGTTAGCAGCCAAATGCTTTAATCACTATGCCACCAGAGCTCCTCCTAGTCAGACAGGTAGTGGGGAAAATTAGGAGATGGTAGTATTATAAAGTCAAGGGAGATGATGGTAAAAAGGAAAAAAAAGGAGTTTGCAATGTCAGATACATCCCAGAAATAGCAAAGCACAGGTGAGGAGATAGAGCTCTTACTTTCACCTTGTATTTGTTCTGAGAAGTTGATGTCAAGTAAACTCTGATTCTTGGCACCCCTCTGTCTGTCAGAGGAGAACTGAGCTCCACAGGGTCTTCAATGGTGGATTTTTCAGAAGTAGATCACCAGGCCTTTCTTCTGAGGCACTACTGAGTAGACTCAAATCTGCAACCTTTTGGTTAGCAGCCAAGCAAATTACCACTGCCGCACCCAAGGACTGTTTGTCCTAGTTAGTTCCAGCTCCCTGCTCTGTGACTCAAGTTTGTAGTAGTACCTAGTACTTTTAACCTCTTAAACTTTGCAAGGATAAATTTGTGGGTACATTCTTCCATTCCCACTTCTTTTGCTGGTTTCACTCATTTTAAAATATTTTCTCCCAAAAGTTTACCAACTGCTGTCTCAGAAAATCTCTAAACTTTTGCCCAAAAGACCTGCTTTGAACCCAGTACTTGGCTCACAAGTGTCTCAGGCTGTATTTTGAAATATAAGGAGGCTCAGGCCTCCTCAACGATACCAAATTTCACATGAGACCCAGATCTCATGCTGAATGTGTGCACCATTATAATAAGGGACTTTGAGGTTTTACCTTGTGAATTTGACCCCATTTCCCACACCCTTGGAATACACCCCCCCACCCGATTTACTGTGAAGAAAATGTCAAAGAGATAGATGCTGAAGTGAGTTTTATACCCAATTATAGCTCGCAAGTCTTCTGGTCAGCCTGGTCGTCTTCCACTCCCAACACTTGCTCCACCACAGCCGCCACCCCCTGAGACCCTAGAGCGGCCCATGGGTGCTGGGGCCATGGTAGCACGCTCCAGTGACCTGCCCTATCTGATCGTCGGCGTTGTCCTGGGATCCATTGTCCTCATCATCGTTGCCTTCATCCCCTTCTGTTTGTGGAGGGCCTGGTCTAAGCAAAGTGAGTGAGTGACCCTTGTCAGCGCAAATGGGGAGCTGTCCAAGGAGACCAACACCCCCCGGGCAGGGTCAGCTGTGCCATACTCCATGGGAACTCAAGCCCCTCAGTCCCCCAGAGCTTCCTAAGGGAGTCCAAGAATAAATAGTCCAAGACCAGCCCTTCCCCCCAAGCTTACCCGCCTCGACTGATGGAGTGTATGAGGAAGTGGAAGTTGGTTCGTCTTCTCTGCTTCTCTGAGTGCAGTACTTCTCTGGCTTACCTTCTTTTAATGTCTGAAGCTGCTTCACTGTCCTCATATTCATACTTAAGATGGGCCTTTCCTCTTCCAAATGTTTTCTGTTCTTCTTGGGTTCTGGGGCTGCTTTGAGTCTTCCCCCTTATCCTGGATTAACCTTTTATCTAGTAATTTTTACTTCAAATGGCAACACCTCTGGTCAAATTGTTTCATCTAAATATTACTCCTCTGGTTGTGCAGCACCTCCTTCCCCTAAACTCTTGTCCTTATATCTCCTCACTCTTCTACCCTGTGCCATCAGCAAAAAATAAGTCTTAGATGTTAGAAAGAGGCAGGTGTCATAAAGAGTGTTTCAAGAGAGAATATTCTCCTTCCCTTTGGCAATGTCAGCTCCATGCATACATCATTTGAGCCTGTGTTGTCAGGAGTTTTATCTTTGTAGGACTTTTTCAAGCTTCCCTAAGCCTTCTTAGTCTAACCATACCTCCTGTTGTTCCAGAACATACTACAGACCTGGCTTTTCCTCGAAGTGCCCTTCTGTCTTCCTCCTGCCAATATACCATGGTGCCACTGGGAGGACTCCCAGGCCCCCAAGACAATGGGCAGCCCTACCTCAGTAGCATCAATGGACGGGCCTGTGCCAATGGGGTGCATGTGAATAGGGGCTGCCTCGCAGCTGCAATGGGCTACCCAGGCCTGAAACCTCAGCAACACTGCCCAGGGGAGCTTCAGCAGGTGATGTAGTCCTGGGTGTATGGGCAGCAGGTATGGGCACCAAGGAGGGAGTGGTTGGGCTACCACCTGGGGCTTCTTCCCTTCCAGCCCGAATCCTGGGTTTCTGGACCAGGCTTTCTTCAGTTAGGAACCAGTTCATCCAGTTGAATAGTGAACACTGGAAAGTTACCTAGACTCCCTGAAGTGACTTTTTCGTTAACCTTACTTTTGAACAGCAGAGTGATACCAACAGCCTGCTGAGGCAGACCATTCTTGGCAATGGATATGACCCCCAGAGCCACCAGATTACCAGGTAACCAGCGCTTTCCTCATTCTTGCCTTTTCATTCCAAGCCCCACAGCCCCACCCACCTTCTCTTTAGCTCCTCAAATCCTTCTTCAGCCGCTGAAACCTGAACAGTAATGCTTCTCTTAGGGATCCCCAAATCTGACCACGCTGCTCCAAAGGGCTATTACCCTAACAGGTAATTAGCGTGTTTGCAGTTACCCTGCCCTTTCAGCTCTGGGGCATGTGCTAGCTTCTCAGAATCCTTCCTCACCAGGCAGGCCAGATGTTCTCACATACACTGACTTTGCACTTGGCTTCACGTCCTCCCACATACTTAGGACTTGCATGGAGTAAGATGGCCATGGACTAGAATTATCAGTGGAAATGATAGTATGGCACCTATTGTTATTCAAAGAGGAGCAGTCCATCCCCATATCAGCTCCCTGACCAGCTCTGGTACCTTCCAGACAGGAAAGCTGCCAGAGGCAGTATGGGAATCCAAGTCCACTCTGCTCCACCTCACTTTTCCTTCTGGTCTCATGCAATGCAGGGCTCCCAAGCCTAGCATGGATGAGGGCTCATTCCTATACACACTGCCTGATGACTCAACTCACCAGCTGCTCCAGCCCCACCAGGATTGCTGCCACCTCCAGGAACAGCCTGCTGCCACCGTGGGCCAGTCAGGAATGAGGAGTGCCACTAAGAGTCCTAGAAGGGAGGCAGTGTGGGACTCTCCATTTCACTCAGGTCGGTGGTGAGAATTGATAGGCTGGGAGGCCATGAGTAAAACATCCATGGCCCCGTGGAGGTGGGGCGTTAATAAGCTTCAAATGTGGTGATGGATAAGGAGCCATCCACAGCTCTAATATGGAAAGGGACAGAGGATTGAAAGATGGTCAGCCACTTGGCTTCATAGTGCAAGGCCCAGGAGATTGGCAGGTTGTACCAGGTGGGTGGTACTCCAACACTGCAAGCTGTGGTCCCCAAATCTGAGAAAAACAACTTATCCATTTCAGAGAAAGAAGGAGCCCTTTTGGTCTGTGCATTTCAAGACCATTAACAAATTCCTCCTGCCTCTCATCACACTAAGAGGCATTCTCTAATCATTCCAAAATACCTTGCCTTGTTGGGTCTTGTCTTTTAATTGAGGAACAAGCTTGCATCAATCATTAAGGAGCCAAGTTCTTAAAAACATCATCATAAAAACTCTTTGCATTTCCACAGAACTTTTCCTTCAAGGGACTCGAGGCCATGCATGCCACCATTGTCTTCCTTTGGGCCAATCTCTTGGAAATCAGAAGATGCTTGCTTTGGTCACAGGCTGTTTCACAGAATTGGCTTTCACTTATTCACCTCCATGGTCTAGATGTCAGTTCAGATGCAGATCCTGGAGTCTGTCTCTGGGAGATTAAATTCTAAAAGGCAGGCACCTCCAGGAGCCAGAATCAGCATCATTAAAACTGGATCACCTCGATCTTGGGGGAAGAGATTGTGAATGGGGTGATTATAACCAGTAGCCATACCATCAGGGTGGACAAGTAGCCTAAATATGAACAGGGCAGGCTTCCTTCCACGTGTTCATGGGCTCAGCAGACTTCACCTGACCTAGCAGTGCTGGCTAGACCATGAGTGTCTCTGTGGCTCCACACCTATGGAAGAAATGATGGTGACAGACAGCCCTGCCTACCTTGGAGGAAGCAGGACCATCCTTGTCATAATGTAGGTTTCAGCATCTTTAGGGCCAATGTAACCAGCTCCCATCACAGAGGTTTACTCAACAGGACCACTGGGTGTTTGCTTCTCCTGGATCTGGACTTTAATGCTTCCCACCTTCTCTTCCCACAGGTCCACCGTGCTGCTTGGGCCTCATACCAGTTGAAGAGGTAGACAGTACTGACTCCTGTCAAGTGGGTGGAGGAGACTGGTGTCCCCAGCACCCCACAGGCTATGTAGGACAGGAACCTGGGATGCAGCTGTCATCTGGCCCACCAGTGCATGTATCTTTTGAACCACCCCCCACAATTTAAACAGAGGCCAGTTTCCCACAAAGACTATATATTGTTTTGTTTTTTAAAAGAGACAGAGAAAATTGCTATTTATTTTTCTATAATAGCCATATTTATATATTTATGCACTTGTAAATAAATGTATATGTGTCTTTATAATTCTGGAGAGACATGGGGGAATCCTACCCATTGAGGTATGAGAGGGAAAACAAAGAAGCCTCCATGTAACAGGTCAACCAGGAAAGCTTGAGGCAGACTTGGCCAGAACACAGACCCAGGAAAGCAAGTCTTCACTTACAACCTCTACAACTACCTGGGAGGTGCTGGAGGCCACTAGGTCACCTAATGAAAGGAAGACTTCTAGGTATATTATTCATGTTGACCATAAGGGAAAAGCAAGGTGCACTATAACAGACAGGAGGCACACAGATGCTGGCTGGCTTTGGTACTTCAGGAGACATTTACATAAGAAGCCCATGAGGACAGACTGAGATGTGTATAGTACTATAAACATTAACAAACCTCCCAGAATCAATAATCTGTGGCAACATATCTCTGTAACAAACACTGTAACTTCTAAATAAATGTTTAGTCTTCCCTGTAACCTTCAACTTTGTCACGTATGAGTCAACATTTTCTTTAGACTTTAGAATTCAGTGTGCAGATTCACAGTTTTCTTCTGAGATGAAGCTTCAGTCAGATTGAAGAAATTAAACTACCTCTCTTTACTCTGTAGGTGTGTATGCTGAAGAGCAAATGTTTTCTCCAAAGTACTAGTTAAGTGCTATACATGAACATAATGGTGCCTGATAAAACTCACTTCCTGTCATTCCCAAGACACACCAGCATTGCCAGAGGGGTTGGCTCATGAGCTATTTAAAATTCACATTTAACATTGTCCAAGCAAAGAATCAAACATAGACTCTGTTTTAAATCAAGATTTTAAAATCTTTATATGTGGGACTGGAATTGGAAAGAGAATGGAGCCTGCAGTGAAAGACAAAAGACACTTTTAACTGAGCATGTTACGGATTTCAGTAAAGTTGAATTACAGATGAAATGCCCTTTGAGACACTGTTCTTATTAGAGTTGTGCTGGACTTGGGTTTCGTGCTCTCCACCAGGAAGAATCTGATAAACAAGACACTCTGGTGGCATAGTGCCTAAGGCATTTGACTGCTAACCAGAAGGTTGGTAGTTCAAACACACTAGCCACTCTCAGAAGGAAGACTAGGCTATCTATGTCTGCAGAGATACCGCCTCGGAAACCCAAGGAGCAGTCACTATGAGTTGAGTCGACTGGATGGCAGTGAGTTTGGTTTTGGAGGGGAGCCCAGGGAGCCAGACAGGACAAGTGCACCCTCCTCTGCTGGCAAGAAGAAATACAGCACCTGCCCTACCCCAGATCTCTGCCTCCTTTTTCCATCAGACAGCTAAGTCTGAGCATGAACTCTCACTGAAAAGGCAACATGATTTTCAGGAAAGCAGTATTTAAAAAATATTTTTCAAAATAAAATAAGAAGTGTAAAGCACATGGAAATGAGAGGAAAAAAGAAGTAGAGAAGAGAAGAAATAAGAAATAGTGACCTCAGACACAACCCAGCCTGGGTGTCCCAATCAGGAGTAGGGCAGGTCAATGTCCTCGTCTTCACATTGCTAATCTGGGACATTATATCTGAGCTGTGTTTCACTTTCTACACCACTGGCCCTTTTGTCCCCTCCTTTATTTGTTTCCCCTTGATGACCTCAGGTACTTGTCAAAGTAGATTTTAGTGAACTTTATTGAAGTGAGATGTGAAGAATCTGCTCTCTGCACAGCACTGGAATCACAGTAACGCTGAATGATTGTAGCTCTCAGTAAATAAATGAATAAAAAGTCAGGGAGAGAGAGAGGAGAGAGGAAAAAAGTCCTGGGAAAGAAAATACTTCTCAGACATGTTAAATAAACATATAAATATGTATATTTTACCTCAGCCAGTGCAGAAAAGGCAGAAAATATCAAAGCACAAGGCTTTTTAATCTTGGTCCAGAAAATGAAATAGCTCTGATTTTTAATTTCATTGCATTTTGTATTTCTCAGGTTAGTTGATTATTTTAGTTGGCCCACACTAGAGTTTTTCATTACAAATAATACATTTTTAATGTTTTGAGTCAGTTGGCAAAGGCATAAATGACTAAGTGGAAGAATAAGACCTAGAGGGCAGAAACTGGTGAGGGGCACAGAGTTCAGCTCATGATTCGAAGACTTCTCTCTGAGGATGGGACGCTTTGTGATAGGGTGGACTGACTGCAGCCATGAGCAGCTCCCTTCCCCAGGAAGTTGTGACAGCAGCTGGACTCTATGGTAATTTCTCTTCCATTGCTGGAGTGCTAGGATACCCAGGCTCAAAACAGCAAAGTTATATTAACGGATGATCGACAACTAACTCAAGTTAGATTTCTGGCTCACCATCAGAGGGGAGATTGCCTTCTCTAGGCAGTAGGAGGTGGAGAATGATTTTGACCAGAGCAGCAGGACCTGCTATTCACCTTCTGCTGAGCTACTCTGTGGTAGTTTCATCTTGTTTGAAGCTTAACCAAAGTCACAGATGTTGTTGTTGTTGTTGTTATGTGCCGTCGAGTCAATCCTGACTCATAGCGACCCTTCCTTGGGTTTCCGAGGCAGTATCACTAGGGAAGTAGGATTGCCCAACCTTTCTTCCGAGCAGTGGCTGATGGGTTTGAACCACCAGCCTTCTGGTTAGCAGTCAAGTGCCTTAGCCACTATGCTACCAGAGCTCCCAAGTCACAGATACTCACACTTAATTACAGATTCACAACTAAGTCTGAAAACAAATAGAAATGGAACTAAAACAATATGTCTTGTCTAACTCAAAATAAAAAACTGAGTGTTAACTACACTATCAGATTCCAGTCATACGAGATGAAGTCCTGAATAATGTAGATTTAGTGATTTTTGTCTAGTTCAATTTGGGAAAAAGCAACAGTCCTGATAAGTGTTACTATGAGTTGAAATACACATGGAATTCTTGATAGGTTCTCCTACAGACTCTAAACCCTTGCTGCAATTAGACTCTCAGAATTTCAGAATGATAAGGAGCCTCAGAAGTTATTCAGATTTCTCATTTTTCAGATAATAAAATGAGGCCCAGGAAGATTATGTAACTGCCCCTGGATCTCAGTACTACCAAAAGGACAATATCTCCTCAAGATCTTAAGAGATCAACCCCTTCATCCCAGCAGTTGTTAACTCTGTTAGACAGTGCTTCACCCACAATAGCCCCCCATGAGCCCTACCCTCTGGGTATCCACTCCCTATATGGTCAGCTCCACATTATGCTATGGTTGGTATAGAGTAGAATCTGTCAGTGGTGCGAATGCTTAAGGTGTTAGGCTGCCTTTCAAGTCCACCCACAAAAGACCAAAAACCAAATTCACTGCGGTCTAGTTGGTTCCAAGTCATAGCAACCCCTCTTTGGGTTTCCAAGGCAGTATCTCTACAGAAGTAGAATGCCCAATCTTCCTTCCGTGGAGTGGATAGTGGGTTTGAACCGCCAGCCTTCTAGTTAGCAGGAGAATATCTTAGGCACTAGGCCACCAGAGCTCCTAGGCCACCCAAATGCACCTCAGAGAAAAGGCCTACTGATCTACAGGCAGTCCCCAGTTTCAAGTCAGACTTCTGAACAACATGCCTTTTAATGTTATGTGAATTTGGCTCACTTTGAAATGATTGAATCAACCTCTGCTGGCAATAAATTCTTCATCTTAATCACCTTCACTTGCTGTGCACATGCAGTTTTTAAGTTACTGAAAAAAACTTTGAGTCTTTTCTTACACTAAACCAAACCCACTGCCATCAAATCAATAACAACTCATAGCTACCTTATAGGACAGAGTAGAACTGCCCCATAGGGTTTCTAAGGCTGTAAATCTTCACAGAAGCAGACTGCCTTATCTTTCTCTCATGGATTGGCTGGTGGGTTTGATCTTACACTAAAGTAAGTCTAAATAAGAACCGTATGCACCTGTTACAACCCACCTACAAATTCCTAAAGACACATTCAAGAACATATCTCATTTGTAACCAAAGGACTGCCTGTGCTTCTGAAAAATCAGCCACTGAAAATCCTGTGGAGGACAATTCTACTCTGAGACACATGGGGTTGCCGTGAGTCGACGGCAGTTGGTTAGTGTAGCATGTGGCAGCAGAAGTGATGATGTGTCATTTCTGAGGTTAAGTAGTAAAACCTAGCTTCCATGTCAGTCTCTCTTGCTCTGTTCCTCACTCTTGGAACACTCACACTGCTCATGTCGTAAGGAGCCCTTTGGAGAAGTCTTGCTGGTGAGCAGCTGAAGCTTCTTGCCAAACAGCCACGTGAGTGAGTTTGGAAACAGCTCCACCAGCTCCAGGCCAGCTTCAGATGGCGACAACCCTAACCTGCGACTTGACTACAAGTCAAGTGGATTAGTTGAAATACACATGAGAGACCCTGGGTCAGAAACACCCAGCTAAAGTCTCCCAGACTCCTGCCTCTCAGAAACTGTGTGAGTTAAGTGTTTATTGTTTTAAGCTAAATTTGGGGGTAATTTTTTATGTAACAATAAATCCATAATCTCAGAGCTATGATTAGCACATTTTTTAAAGTGCTTGAAAGGCATACATAAGGGTAGGGTAGACAGCACAGGAAGTGCTGAAATTGTAGAAGTATACTCTTCTACAGTAGAGTAGCTTCAACATCAGAGATTTATCACGACAGGCACTAACATTAAATTCTGACCTCTTAAATACAAATATAAAAGAATCTTAAACAATAGGCTAAATGGACAGCTGCAAGAATATTTTCACTTACAAAGACAGTAAGTCCTGCCTATAATTTTTTGGGGAAAATTAGTAGGCTTGCCACTGAGTACAGATTAGGAAGAATTGATATTACTGAGTTGCTTTGCAATTGATGCAATATTGCCTTCATCACTTTTCCTTCTTGGTGACTAATTTACATTCTGAGACAGCCTCAGCAGAGTAAGTCATTAACATGGACTAACTAGAGAGTTGTTGTTGTTGTTAAGTGCTGTCAAGTTGGCCCCCACTCATAGAGACCCCTCCTTGGGTTCCTGAGGCAGTATCACTACAGAAGTAGATTGCCCAACCTTCCGTCCTAGGAGTGGCTGGTGGGTTTGAACCGCCATCCTTCTGGTTAGCAGTTAAGTGTCTTAGGCACTACACTACCAGAGCTCCTCCATAAAGATTTGTTGTTGTTGTTGTTGTTGTTATGTGCCATCGAGTCGGCCCCAACTCATAGCGACCCCTCCTTGGGTTTCCGAAGCAGTATCACTACGGAAGTAGGATTGCCCAACCTTCTTTCTGAGGAGTGGCTGATGGGTTTGAACTGCCAGCCTTCTGGTTAGCAGTCAAGTGCTTTAGCCACTATGCTACCAGAGCTCCCCCATAAAGATTTAAAGCTTTGGAACTCCAACGAGGGTTGGTATAAATCAGAATCAACTCAGTGGCAGTGTGCTTGGTTTTTTTTGTTTTTGTTTTGTGTTTTAGTATATAGTTTAAAATGTCATGCATATCAAAAGCAATTGCTACAGATGATCTCTGAGTGGTACAA